GGCTAGGAGCCGCCCCGACAGTGCGCGATATGAGGTAATCAGTGCGCAAAGTGCTTCCGGCATTCGAGGTCTTCCGCACAGCGGTAGGCGACCTCGACAAGACACTCGGCGGAGTGCCGATGACGATGGACATTGTCCTCCAAAGCTCGAAGAGCAGTGCAAGTCGCCGGTCGACGATCGACCAAGTCGTCATCGTCCGCCGCCGACTCATCTCGATGAGAATGGTAGTGTCCACTATCACGTAGAACACCTTGTGGGTCGACGCTGTCGACAGGGTCAAACCCAATATCTTGTAAAGTGGTGGAGATCCCCAAAGTCCGAGAACCTGTTGGATTTTGAGGTGTCACTTCGACAAGACTGCCCAGACGTCGTGGACGCCTATAATCAGAAAAAATGGAGCTTCGCGTCCTCACGCGCCTGAGCACTTTTCGGCGGTAGCCCGGGAAGCCAAAGGGCCATGAGCTGAGCTCGAGCTCTGGCCCTGAGCTGCTGTGGTCTTAGACTCGCTTGTGTGGGGATCCACCGAGCTTGCGGGAGCGTGATGGATTTTTCCATACTTCTATGTCGCAGGGCAACAATGCGTAGGAAGTCGGCATGCGCCTTGATTTCGGCAAACTCAAACCGACGGCTGCATTCTACGCGTACGTCCACTTACTTGTGCTCCGCTGTAATTAAGACAGCAAGGAGAGTTTCTGGTGCCGCTGCACCCATCGCTCAAAGAGATTTTCATCATCCGCAGCGGTTTCGCCAGTGGCGAGCACAGCAGGAATTATCCGTATTGCGGGTACAGGAGCGCCTCCTCTCTGAACACGATGTCGAGCGCGGCACGTAATTTGAGATCTCTAAGGTACGAAGAAGCGAGCTCGGCGAGCTTTTCGTTGGTCAACTCAGTTTGTGTAGTAACAGGAGGCCCGACTACGTTGACGTCTAGCGATCGAGTAATCGCGTTATTCGCTTCAGTAGCCTGGGATCGAGCGTAGATACGAGCGCGGATACGAGCGCATGAGAGCCGCCCTAACTGCTGCTCTTGTGCCTCGTCGAGGCGATTGGTACTCATACCACTTTCCCCGGAAGTCAAGAAGTCGGGAAACGGACACGGTTGTTGCTAGGTTTGAGCAGGGCTCACGTCGCGCCGTTGCCGCACCTTACTTTCCTCTTCTTCCCATACTGTGAAAGGAGTATCCGACTCTTAGTCGAATTCCTTCGAATGATCTACGAGGAAATCCGTCGCCCGTGGTCGGTGCGGTGTGTGGTGCCCAATTGCCGAGGGCTTGGGATGTGCTTCCCGTGAAACCTAGACGTACTGGCCGGTGATGCACCTCGTGCAGAAGTCGAAGAAGGACGCCACCCGTGGGGGCCCCCCGGAAGAAGCTAGGCTGAGTGTTTTCGCGTCCTAGACACAGGGTTCATTGAGTGTAGAATATGTAAAGATGGTCCTAGCGACGTAACGGTGTCTCAAAGACGCAAGCCTCGTACGAGACAACACTTTAATGTGAAGGGTGGGTATTCACAATTTCGTACTCTTGTGAAAGGGTGGGTCACAAAAGATGATGTGGCCGTACAAAGTTGCGGATTATCCAAGTCGGGGTAATCACACAATGGCGTGGCTACACTGTAGCAAAATATTACTACTTGGTGAGACTACCAGTAGTTATGCATACTAATTAGGTTTTCCTATTTAGTTAGAAGAACATAAGAGCTTAGATATAGGCGGCTCTGCCGCAAATCAATCAGAAAATACAGTTTCAATTTTGAACGAAAGAGTGTATATGCCTTGGTTAAGGTTTTTAGGTACTCTTGGAGGTTGTGAATTGTGATCCGCTACAGTCGCACTGGTTTAGGTATAGAACGTAAGGTCGGTGACAGTAGTAAGCTTTCTCTAAGCAAAGAGTTACGGCAAGCCCGCTGTAGATGAGGCTTACTTGTCGGAATTTCTTTGTCGCATGAAGCACGTACACATCATCCGATTTTGCCGTCTTCAATATCACCGAACACTGTATACTTTTGCCAGCAGTTACGCGCCGAACGTAATTGCACGATGCTCTTGGATCAATAAGGACATATACATGGCTACCCAAAGCTCGGACCTTTGATGTTCGTAGCCAACAGATGTTGTTAAGTCTTTCTGTAAATTATGAAGGCTCTGATGTCGTGGAACGTTGCCAATCTTTGTACTTAAATTCGAAATACAACTTTATTCTAAGTATGGTGTAGCGTCATCGCCATGATGTAATGGGGTCAGTTGAACGACACGCGACTTGCCGTTCGGCTTCCGAACAATTAGAACACTCAAATGCATTTTCAGCTCACACATTTTATGTGATCCACATATTTCCGTGTGTGATTAACATTTATTATACATCTTGCATAGTTGCATATTCCTCAAGTCTGTTACATCAGTATGGGATGCACTTATCGGTTTACAGAAGTTTTAAGGCCTATTGGCCATAATAAATGACACTCCATCTTTCTCGTTCATGTAGATCGACAGCTCGCTGGAAGTGAGGGACACGCAGTGAAGGGTGTTTATCGATTTAAGTCTTACCCAGTAACTGAGTGTACATGGACGAGCAATTCCCGTTCCACTTGGTAGTCTTTGTTGATCATTCCTACGCCGACTACTACGATAGATTCATCTATGGATAATCTGGGAACCACAGGCAATGGTTGCCCTCGAATCGACAGGAAAAATATTCGTTCCTAACACACTCGTAATGAGAGTTTGTGGTGAAGCTGCGAATTTAATCGGAGATCACGCGGTCTTCGATATTCTCCAATAAAATCAAGAAGAAACAACTGAACGCTTAGCAAATTTTGTTGAATAATGAACAAGGGTTATTGGGATTTATATCCCAAAACATACCGACGCCAGCCCCGTCACCTCCACCAGAAGTGGTGGTAACACCGTCGATTCACGGAACACCCTGTGAGAATAAAGGCGAAAAGCTATCACGGGAATGAAAATAAAACTATTGCGTTTTGGCAGCGAGAAAAGGTCATCTATATCGCGATGACCCAATTTCGTGATGACCCGCAGTAAAGTGGCCTTTGCCATGTCGCATTTGGATGGCCGCGCAAAATATCGGGCGATAAGTAAGTGGCCCCGGCTACTTTGCCACATGGCAAGAGTTGAATATGGTCATTGAATCGATGACCCTTCCGCCGAATGTGGCATATCGACCACGGTCGAAAATTCTGTCATGTCGTCAAGACAACAGCACATAGTACGGCTATTTACAGAAGCTTCGTGAGCCTCTTGTCAGGCTGGCAAGCAGACCACTGCCAGAGGCAGTGATGGTCACTGTGTTTATGGTGGGGCGTACATGTGTTCCTCTTAAGACTGAGCTCTTCCACTAGAGTTCGACAACTCTGGAAGATGCAATTATGACTGCATTACGTGATGACTACTGCCAATGTCAAGCCAGTGGTCAATTTATCAATCCGATTAAATCAGTAACCGCTTCATCTGAAAATTCAGAAACTAATCGATCGCATTATGATGGCTGTCCGTAGGCAGCAGTTTCGCTGTTTTGAATGTGAACAATATGGTTACATCCGCCATAATTGTCCACTCGGGAGACGAACCTTACGGTTCTTGTCGAAGTGAGACCGAGCCACGTAGGACCACTTTCACGAGGCGTTCGGAAAACGCCGGTACCCAGCAGACGCAGGGCGGTCTACTGGGGAAATGATAAACTCTTCTGAGTGTGGTGGAGAATCACTCACGAGAATTTAGCCCTACAAGAATTGTTGTCTCTCGTTAACGACACGAGTCGA